AGCACGCCTCCGCAGGGCTTCCCCTCCTCAGAGTTCGAAGAAACAGAAACTCCAGGATCAGAGAGGTTAGGACAGAAGAGATTTCAGAGAGAGCCTGCGGTGGGCCGGCTGCGGACAAGAGAGCTGAGGCCTCCCGCAGCCCCTTCGCACGAGACACCTGGCTCATCCTCAAACGGCAGGTGGCACCTGTCACTCACTGAAAGGAGAGGAGAAGGGCAGGGTGGTGATTTCCTGGCCCAGCGACCTTTGCCACATGCCCGGGTCCTGAGGCTGGGCATTTGGGCAGGGGGCGTGAGAGGTCCGGCCAGGGGGCATCTGGGCCGGAGGCGCAGCCAGGCATCAGGGAGTGTTGGCCTGGAGCTCTGGGCAACTGGAGGCCTGCCACCCACCCCTCGTGGCCACCCTGTGGCCCAGACAGAGAATCAGGTTCCACAGGGGTCCCGGCCTCGGCCTGGGCAGCGCCCCGGGACCCAGCATCAGGCCAGGTTGCAGAGCCACCAGTGGGCCACACAGCCAACCAGTGAGGTGGGTGTCACCCCAAGTTACTGTCGGGAACGCAGAGGCTCCCAGACATGGAAAGGCTTGCTCAGGTCGCCTGGCCTGTGACAGCAAGGCGAGAGTCTGTGCTGAGCCCTGTCTGACCCTGAGGTCAGGGCCTTCTCCTGAATCACCAACACCACTTGCCCTCGGCCGGCAGAGCATCCAGAACCGGAGGCCAATGCATCTCTGCTTTGCTCCCGTGTCCCCGGAAACGATCTCCCTCTGCTAAGCACCCCTCTCCCTCTCCTGAGCCCCAGCTGCTCTCCCTCTTGCCTGCTTCGGGGCAAGTCACATGCCCCCTGGGGCCATGAGTCACTGCCAGTGGGCGGCCCCCATCACGAGCCTGGGAGGGGGTGTGAGGGGGCGAGTACCCCTAACCCCTGTGCACTCACTACAGCAGGGAGACAAGACCAGAACACCAGCCCAGAGAGAGGGAGCCCCGCCCTGCCACGGCCGGCTGTTCCCACTCTCGGGTCTCACCTGGCAAACAAGGTCACTGTAAAGGTCAGATGAGTGTTTGGGGCACTTATTCAATATCCTTTGCATACCTACCACACGCCAGGCAATGTTCTAGGCCAGCGCTTCTCAACCCGGAGCGATGTTCTACCAGAGGACATTTAGCAATGTCTGGACACATGTTCAAATGTCACAAGTGAAGGGGGCAGCACCCTGGCCTCGACCCACTAGAGGGTAGACATCCTGTTAGACATCCTGTGACATGCAGGCCGGCCCCTCGACAACTACCCGGATGTCAAGAGTGCTGAGAAGGAGAAGCTCTGCGCTGGGCTACAACTCTGCGGCAGTGGACAAGTCCCTGTCCTCACTGTGAGTGCATCCTACGGGGAAGACACTATAAACGTGGAAAAAATACAGTGGGTCACGAGCGTTATTTAGGGAAACAAAGCAGGTCAGGGAGTGCGCGTACGTGGCGGGAGCTTTTATAGGCAGGGTGGTCAGAGAAGGCGCTGAAGGAAGTGAGGGAATAAGACCGGGAGATGGCAGCAGGAGGAGCACTCAAGGCAGAGGGGAAAGCAGGTGCAAAGGCCCTGAGGCAGGCATGGGGAGGGCATGTCTGAGGAACAGAAAAGCAGCCAGCATGGCATTAAACAGAACTAAGTTGATGTGTGGAGTTCAATGTAACGCATGCATATGCGTACACACACACACACACACACACAGTTGGCGTCAAACCCCTTCCCTCCCCTTCACCCCCGCAACTGTCCTGGCTGCTCATCCAGGAAGCCTTGGACGGTCAAGGCTATGAACTGCCTCCCAGCCCTGGGAGGGACAGCAGTCCAGGAGCCGCTGGGCCAAGCCCCAGGACGACAGCAAAGGCCACCCTCAGACAGCAGAATGCAGACACCTCATCTGCTCCCACACCCTTCACACCCACTTGGTCCTGCGAGGAACACCAGGTGGAAAGTGCTTCCCACGTCCACAGCTAGGAAAACAGAGGATCAGTGACTTGGCCCAGGTGACAGGGCAGAACCCAGGTGACCACTGACACTGTGGCTCCTGGAAGGCTGGAGCCAGGTCATGGTCACCTCGGGGTCCCTAGTGCCCAGCACTGGCCACCGCCCTCTGAAGCAGTGCCTGACCACTGGGCCGCCTCCTTGTTAGCACGCAGGCTCTCCTCAAGGCTGTCAGGGAGGGGACAGAGGGACATCCCAGGACAGCAGCCACCCCGCGTCACCCGTCTCCACTCCAATGGCCAGCACCCCCAGGCCAGCCTGGGGGCCCTCACCCTCTCCCCTAATCTGAGCTGGGTATTGAGGAAGCAAGCGGCAGCCCCTCCATTCAAGACGTCCAGGGGTAGGTTCCTCAGACCTAGCAGGTGGAGACAGCCCCAGACAACAACAAAAAGCCAGACAGCAGGGCCCTCTCCGTTCCCATCGCAGGGCACCCAGTGCTCACGAATGCCACCAGGTTTACGGCATACATCTGTCCAGTGAACACACAACTAAATGAATGAGCAATCCAGTCCACTCCAGCCAACAAATGCAGCTTGTAAAGGAGGCCAAAGTCCTGACTACACAGAGGCTGCCATCCCCGCGGCCAGCTCAGGTCACCTTGGGCTCTTTCTGTAACTCAGTCTAGTGACAGGCAAGATTACTCAGCACCCGCTGGGAACGAGGGACCCAGCTGAGGACAGGAACGGGGATGCAGACAATGGGGGAGGGCGGGGGAAGCCTAGGGCGAAGGGCTTTGGAATCAGGCAGACCCGCATTCGCATCCCACCCACCCTCTCACCCCCCGAGCTCTGCAATCCTGCAAAATGTCATAACCTCTCTGGGCCTGTTCCTGCATCTCTAAATGGGAACAGCACCAACCACCTTTCAGGAAATGCTGAAAGGAAGGTTCTGGTGAGATTCTGTAGGAAATTCCTAGCACAGTGCCCAGCTCCTCCTGGATGTTGTACACACGGGAGCTGTTGTGTGGCAACAAAGAGGAGGAGGAGGACCGCACGGTCCCTGCCCTGAAGGACCTTTCTGTTGGGCTCGCTAAGACGCAACCAGCCCAAAAAGCAGAATGGAGCCTGTCCTCCAGACAGGGGCAAGGGCTCTGACGGTTCAAAGGGAAAATGACCAAATCCAACAGGGAGAATGGAGGAGGGCTTTCCTGCAGGGGGCGGCATTTGCAAAAGGCCCTGAAGGATGGGGCGTGGGATGTGCCACGGAAAGGGGACAGCATGGGCTACCCATGTTTCGTGGGGCATAAGGTACAAATGCAGAGAGGTGGCAGCAAGAACGTGGGTCCCTCACTCCCTCTGGCCTGGGGCCCCTGGGAGAGTTTCTGCCTCCGCCGCGGGAGCCATATGAGGCTTCTCAGGCAGGGAGGGAGATGCTCCAACTTGGGGAGGGTCACCCCAGCGATGCTAGCAAGGAGGGTCAGTGGGAGAGGGCGCGGGGCCAACAGATCAGCTAGGAGGCTGCGGAGGTGATCTCAGGGAGAGGGAACCCGAGATGACTTGGGAGACGGTCAAGAGGGCAGGGAAGTGAGAGGCACAAGGGAAACCCCTCAAAGGACTCCAGCACCCCGTGTCCCCTCGGCCACAGGGAAGACCTGTGCCTCCTTCCACCCCCAGGGGCTCACACGCCACGGGGGGCAGGATGACACCCCTCGAGACCCTGCGGTCAGGCTGGGGACTGCGACCGTCAGCATCCACGCTCAGCTCTTAGAGCTGGGAGTGTTTTGGCTGGAAGCCGCTCAGGACCACCTCGGGGGCGGGCCCCCAGCAGCTCCACTGTGGTCCAACAGCCTCCATCCTCTGCCCTCAAGAATTGGACTCTTTGAACCAATGTCACCCCAATACATTCAGTAAGTATATAAATAAACCCAAAAAAACGAATTGGACTTCAAAGATGTCTTTAGCCTTAGCTAGTGAGTCACCAAACATCAACACAGGAGCCAGTGCCACCACCCCCACCTTCCTTCCCAGTCAGCCGTCCAGATGGTTCAGCACATACCCCGGGTCATCAGGGGAGGACCGGGAGGGGGTGGGATGAAGGCCCACCCCCTCCCCAGCCATGAGGGGGCGGGGGAGGAAGAGGTGATCCTCTGGAGAAAGAGGGCCCCCATGCCCTTCCATGAAATACAAGGAGGTCTCCAAGTTTCAATGTAAAACAGGGCCCCTCTGTGTAAAATGGGGCCCCTCTACTTTACCAGACCACGGCCACAGCCAAAAAAGGCAGAGGACACACAATTCTTCCACCTCGCTACTGAGGCGGGTGCACAGTGTATAATGAATGCTCTGGGGCTTCTGCCTCTCCGTGTTCCTGAAGCACCTCAGGCACCCTGTCTGCCTTGTTAACTACCCAGCAGCGGTGCACTCTGCTGTTCCCAGAGCTCAGGTCAGGCCAGGAGAACCTGAGAACGCTTGTCTCCGCCCCATGGCCCGGGAGCCCACAGAGGAGGCTCGGAAATGGCGGCTGGACACGCCAGATGGCTCCTAGGGAAGGGGTCTGGCCATGGGCGACGGCCAGCCCACACTCCCACTGTGCCCTTATTGGGCATTTACTGTACACCTGGCAGTCCTCGTATTTCTAAGAAAGAGGAAAACCATAGCCCCGGGCTGGGGGGGATGGGGGCAGTCATCTGAGGAGGGTGCCCAGCATCCGCGGTGGAGGCAGCCCCCACGGGAAGGAAAGCTTGGCCGTGGCAGCCTCAGGGTAACGAAGCTGGGTTCTCCAAACGCCCCGTCCTGTACTGACAGAGGGACCCGGCTGCGCCCCTGGGCCTCCCGCCCCGGGCATACATGCCAAACTGAGGTCCCCAGCCGGTCTCCGGCCGCGCGCAGACCGTGTCTGACCCAGTAAAATACGCAGCTCCTCCGTCTCCCCGAGCCCTGCAGCCCTGTCTCGACGCCCCGGAAGCGCGGCCAGGGGCTCCGCGGGGTGGGAGCCAGCCCTGGTGGGCATGAAGGGCGGGCGCTCCCCCCGTGGGCCGCGCGAAGCACCCACCTGGGCGGCCACGGCGTGGCCCGCGTCCCAGAGCCGCAGTCCGATGGCCAGCAGGATGCAAAGGGCGGCGGGAGCCATGAGGACCCTGCGGCGGCAGAGCGCAGGAGGGATCCGGCCGGCTCTGGCCCTCGCTCCCTTTCGCCTCCCCTCCGCTCCGCTGCGCTCCGGCGCCTCCAACTGAAAGCGAAAGACTGCGCGGCGGGGCAGAAGAAAGGCAGCGGGCGGGGCGGGGCCAGACGGCCCTCCTTCTCCCCTCCCATTCGCCAGGTCCCCGAAGCCCGCTGCCCAGCAGACGCCCGGACCCGGACTCTCACCCCGCGCGGGGCCGAGCCTGGCTCACCTCTGCCAACCCGAAGCTCCATCGCTACCTCCAGGGTCAGCCACTCCCAGTTCTCGGTGACCCTTCAACCTCCCTCTAATGCCCACTCTCCGAATGTCCCCCTCCTAGGGCAGGCGCGGTTGACCCTCACTGGAGACAGACTCCCACCAGGTTCGTGGCTGCCCCAAGGCTATGTCTCTCGACCATGTCTCTCGACCTGCCCTCAGACCACTTACGCCTCGATCCACCGCAGGCTCCCCACGCCTTGGGGGTGGGGGAGGGGGGCGTTGTGCTAATTTGGAAAAACATCCCGCCCAGTTGACACTAGCTTTAGGGGGACCACAGCGGCTCTACATCATTCGCTCATTTGGACTCTAGAGACAGACTGCCCGGGTGGTCTTCGTGGCGTTATTGTGAAGATTAAAAGGTATTCATGATATAGCATACCCTCCTATACGTAGGTGTACTTAAGTGTACATGTCATTTGTTAATCTCTGTATAGGTATTAGACGCTACTGCTATTATTCATTTTTTCCATCTATCCCTACACATTCTTCACGCCCTTTTCAGGGACCCAGACCCTACACTACCTTCCTTCTTGAGTCCCCTGTCCAGGTGGCTGACGAGTAAAAAGAGGCTGGGACAGAAGCCTCCCAGGAAGTAGTAGGAGTCCCCAGGGGGATGACCCAGGCCAAGGGCCACTAGGGCTGGCTTCCCTGGAGTTCTCACCATGACTGAGCACCCACGGTAGCTGCCACCTGCATGCACCCCCTTCATTTCAAGTGCCATTTCTTTTTTTTTTTAAGACTTTATTTCTTTTTGGAGAGGGAGAGAAATATCAATGTGTGGTTGCCTCTCACGTGCCCCCTAATGGGGACCTGGCCCACAAGCCAGGCATGTGCCCTAACTGGGAATTGAACCCTCTGGTTTGCAGGCCAGCACTCCATTCACTGAGCCACACCAGCCAGGGCTCAAGTGCCATTTCTGATGCCAAGGCCAGCCCTGTGTGACCAGAACACAGTCCCCCAGCCCTGGGAGTCCCTGTCCCCAGCACACAGGACATTTCTGAAGGGTGGGGTGGGCAGAGTGACAGGAGGTGACCCTGTTTCCTTGTTCCTTCACTGCAAGCTGCCCCAAGAAAGGCAGGGATGCCTGCTCCGGGCCACCAACTCCTGTGACAGAGACAGCAGTGACGGTGCTTCTAGGCACTGAGTGAGAAACTGGGAAGTGACGCTTGGCAGATGGAAAATCCCACCTGCTCATCAGGAGACTTGGAAATCACCTGGTTCCCACACAGCCACGAGAGATGAGCCTCGCTGAGGGTGTGGTCAGCACAGCCCACAACCGTAACGTCTCAGCACCAGCCTCGGAAGCTCAAAGGACAATTTCTTCTGGCCCTTACGAGTCTCACCTGGGTGGAGTTGTGAGGACTCCCTGATTCATAGGAGAGAGCCAAAGGCCAGGAGTCGGGTGTCACATGGTGGAAGCAGGAGCAGGTGGCTCTCCATAGATGTCCCGTCCACACCTCAGACCCAGTGGGTCCCACTGACTCATCCCCACTGTGGCAGCTCAGCTCACACCCGGCGTACCCCACCCCGCCCAGCTCTGGTCCTCGGACCGCGCTAGCCAAAGGCTCTAACGCTTGTCACAGACCTTTATGGGGCGCCTGCTGTGTGCCAGCCTGGGGGTGCTAGGCCATCAGTCTCGTGGTCCCTAAACTCCCATGATTCTCAGGTTCCAGAGTGGTCCCTTCGAGCTCCTCCGGATTGGCCCCAGTAAAGGGGAAAGGATTTCCACCCCCTTTCCCAAGATGGTGCTCAGCACGATGGTGACTCCTTCCCCAAAACCCTCCTCTCGGGTTTTCCAAACCTAACATCTTGTTCAGGCTTGGGGTGGGGTGAGGATGACAAATTCTGCGTGAACCATCTAACACTGAGTCTCTTAGCATGGCCTGCACAGGTGGCCCAGGACTCGTCTTCAAGATGGGGCTTGAGCCCCTGGCTGGTAGAGCTCAGTGGATTGAGCATGGGCCTGAGAACCAAAGGGTTGCTGGTTCGATTCCCAGTCAGGGCACATGCCTGGGTTGCAGGCCGTGGCCCCAGTGGGGGCCACACGAGAGACAACCACACATTGATGTTTCTCGCCCTCTCATTCTCTTTCCCTTATCCTCTCTCTATAAATAAATAAATATAATATTTTTTTTTAAAAGATGGGGTTTGACCTTGGCTCCCATGGTGTTGTACCTATCCTTAGGGAATCTGGTAAAAGTCAGCATTGGCACAGGGAGTCCCTGTATCACACTGCCCCTCCCCACCCCTGCCTCACAGCCCAGTCCTGGCTTTGACCTTGGCCATTTCTCACTTGCAATGCCCCAGCGGCCTCCCAACTGGTCCTCTGGTCTTCAGGCTCTGTCGTTCTAATCTGAGCTTCCGGCTGTGGCCAGAGCCAGCTCTCAAAGGCATCAGGTGGTCACAATGTCCCATAGTTCTCACCTGAGGGAAGATCTCGCCCCCTACTCCGAGGAACAACTGGCAATGTTCGCAGGCATTTTGAGGGCAGGGATGGATCCTACGGGCATCTCGTGTGTAGAGACGAGGGATGCTGCTGAATATCCCACAATGCACAGGACCGCTCCCCAAACAGATTACCCAGCCCATAATGCTGAGAGAGAACACCCCAGTGCGTGGCTCACCACGGCCTTCAGAATGGAGCTCAACCTCCTCAGTGAGACCCTGAGGCCTGCTGGGCAGGTCTCCCTCCACCCCACACTCCCACCACCCTACACACCCCCAAGTTCCCACCTCAATTCCTTGTTCCCACGGGTTCCTGTGCCTGGGATGTCTTTCCCTCCTGTTTTCTTGGTGATCACCTCCTTCAAATCAAAGCCACATTCTCTCTACCGGGAAACTTGCCCTTAACCACACCCTGCCAAACCAGGCGGGGGCTGGGACTCCCACAGACCGTTAGGCCAACATTCACCTCCGTCTGGTTAGCATCTCCCACATCCCCCTCCTCTCTTAGCAATTAGGAGATTAGCGGTCAGAAGACTTGCAGGAGCTGTGCTGGGAGCAGGGTCAAGCTTCATGATGAGCTTACACAGCTAGGAAAAGGCACAGCAATTCACACTGAGTCTGGCTGCTCGAAAAGCCGCAGCCGAGCTGCCTCACACGCTGCTGAACCACGTGGTCCCCGAGGCAGTTGGACTCAGTCATGGCCCCCTCTGTTTCCCTGGTGACAGGTGACACACACGAAGAGCCCGACGAAGTTGCAGTGCATGAGGACTTTATGCATCACTAGTGTGCGCAGGAGGCAGTACAGGGGCGAGTGAATGAGTAAATGAATGAATGAATGAACAGGTGAGTGAGAGTATGAGTGGATGTCAGGGTGAAGACCCAGGCCGCGCACGCCCGGCCTCGTCTCTCAGACCAGGCATGTCTTCTGTCCCAGCCCCACAGTGCAGGAAAAGCCCATTTGCTCCTCGGTCATGGATAAGGAGCAGGCTTCTAGTAGGCAGGACCGTGGCCCTCTGGTCCCCAACTCAGGGCCTGCATGCACAGTATCTGTAACTTTGGCCTGGGCTCCCCTATGCCTTTCCTTACTTCCTGTTGTAGCCCCTGGCCCTCAGGGAGCCCCCCGCCATCTCCCACACACATCCAGCTGATGCTTTGCAGACAGGTGTAGGCGAAGGCTCAGCTGCAGCAGGCATCGTGCGTAAGAATAGCCAGCCTGTCCACCAATATCTATGAACACCTACTGTGTGCCAGGCATTCCAGTGGACTCTATAGCGGGATGGTTCCCCAGCTTCGGCCAGCACCAGGGCCATCTGAAAGGGTTCTGACAGGTGCAGTTTCCTGGGCCGCCTCCCACGTCTGAGGATCTATCTGGCTCTGTCAGGAGCCGCAGGGCACTGGCAGACACCTTCTGGGAAACCTTGCACGGAGGATTTAGCTGCAGTAGGTGCTGTGGCTGAGGGCGGTTGTGGGGGCAGAGCTGTGGCCATGTGGTGTGCTGGCATCGGCAGTTTACACGGCAGGGGTGCGGTCTCACAATCAGCCACAAAGCCAGCTCCTTCCAGCCTGGTCTCCGGAGGCCCAGGGGCACCCTGCCCTGCAGGGGCTGCTCCGGCAGCAGGACCCCCGCCCCTTCCCCTGATTGGTGCACAGGTGCGGCAAGCAGCCTGCTCCCTCACCCCCTGCCCTGTTGTCTCTGTGCCCTGCCCCAGCCCCTCGATGATTCATGCCCTAAAATCACGAACAGGAAGGAACGCTGGGTGTCAGACACAGCCCTGCAACTAACTGCCTCCCTCCGTCCCTCCTACCTGTCCTCCCACCTTCCCCAGAGCCGCCCCCACCAAGCTGGGGCTGGGGGCACTGGACTGAGAAAGACTCACTGGCTCCGTCCAAGTTTCCTTCCGAAGCAGGGAGGGCAGGGGGTATAGCTCCCCTCTCCCCACCATCAAAGAAGACCCCAGGCAACACAGGGAAGGGTGCCAAGAGCACCTCCGAGCCTCCTGGTTTCCCCAGTCCCCCCAAATCACGAGGGGACTCTTCTGGGTTGCCTCTTCCAAGGAACCAACCCCCAATCAGGCCCATACCCTCTGAAGAAGACCCCCCAGTTTCTAAGCCCAGCACATGGGGCCACTAAGCCTCAGGGGAGTCCCCATTCCAGCCTGTGTGACCTCGGGCCAGTGTCCTCACCTATAACACCAAGGGGCTGAGTTAGGTCAGGCGATCCAGGCTGATTTCATCCTAAGCGCCAAACCCACCTGGTGACGCTGCCTTGGGCTTCTGTGCTGAAAGAGATTCTGAGCCCACTGTGGACTCGGTGAGATAGGATGCGTGAGCACGCAGCCAGGTGTGCCCT